GTTTTGAAGCCACTGATGCCTGCTCAGATGTGATGGGACAAAATGAAAGTGATTTTGAGGAATGATCAGAGGAATTTGACTCAGAAAAAACTAGATCCAAATCCCAGCTCTACTGTCTCCTCCAAATTAGCCTTGGGAAAATCATTTACATGCTAAATAATTTACCTTTTTATCTAGGAGACGAAAAGAGGATAATGATTCCTTCCATAAAGAAAGTTCTTATATATAAGAATCAAAAGAAATGGTGAGCTTTAAGTGGTTTGTAAACCATGAGACACTTCATAAAAGTTCTATCTGTAGTGTGCCTTCTTCCTGCTTCCTCTGTGAGATATGTATTTGCTTCTGACCTGTTGAGAAGCTCAGGTCAAAGTGGTGCAAAATAGTTGAAAAGAGTTAAAAGTGGGCCCTAGGAGCAGTCACAGAAGTGAGCTATGAAGGCTCCCCAATTTGGTAATACTGTTCATGCTTTATCTTGTTTCTGTCTCAAACTGATCCTCTGATAAGTCAGCAGGGCAGGTTTTATTCCTCATTTAGAGACAGGGAAAGCAAGTGTCATTGAAACAGTTTCTGTGGTTTACATAAGCACACACCCAAGGCCAAGTGGGATGTGACCACAATTAACCAACCTGGGAAACAGGTTTCAGGAACAAATGTGGAAATATTTTTCATCCTTAACAATACCTTCTTGCCTTTAATCCTCCATCAGGCACTTATTCCTATGTTGTTTCACACTGCCTTTAACGATGGTAGGTGTGATCTTCTCTTGCAATTAAGATTGTAAGCTTTTTGTGGCTAATATTACCAGCCTAAACTCCCTGGGCCCTGTTTTGTTGTTGTGGTGGTGGTGGTTGTTGTTCGAGATGGAGTCTTGCTCCTTTGCCCTGGCTGGAGTGCAGTGATATAATCTTGGCTCTCTGCAACCTCTGCTTCCTGGGTTCAAGTGATTTACCTGCCTCAGCTTCCCTAGTAACTGTGATTACAAGTGCATGCCACCATAACTCGCTAATTTTTGTATTTTTAGTACGGACGGGGTTTTGCCATGTTGGCCAGGTTGGTCTAGAACTCCTGACTCAAGTCCACCCACCTCGGCTTCCCAAAGTGCTGGGATTACAGGTGTGAGTCACTGTACCTGGCTGATGTTGGTATTTTATAGCAGGGAAACAGAAATGCCAAAATCCTGCTCACTCTTTCTAGGTGTGGCTGCTGAAGGAAGATAACGATTATAAAGTAGAAGGCGATAGTACATGAAGTTTTGACCCCAGTACCAATGCAAACAAATGAACTCCCTGGGAACCTGGGCTAAGCCTTATAAAAAGATCATTTTTCCTAAGGTGGTGTCTTAGTCTGTTTTCTGTTGCTATAACAGAATACCTGAGACTGGATATTTATAAAGAAAAGGAGTTTATTTGTCTCACATTTCTGTAGGGTGGGATGTCCAAGGACATTGTGGCAGCTTCTAGTGAGGGCTTCCATACTGTGTCATCACATGGCAGAACAGCAGAAGGACAAGCAGGTGCATGCAAAAGACAGAAAGCAGGAGGTGCCAGGCTCACTTTTATATCAGCCCACTCTCACAACAATGAACCCACTCCCATAACAATGACATCCATCCATTCATGAGGCCCATGCTCTCATAACCCAGTCTCCTTTCATTAGGCCCCATGTTCCAACACTGCAGCATTGGGGACCAAGTTTCAAAATACGTTTTGGAGAGGACAAACATCAAAACCATAGCAAGTAGTTAGACCTAAGTAATTTACATAGCTTAAAACAAAATGGGCCATGAAGTCACAGGGCTCTTTCTTCCTGTTGCTTGGGATTCAGAGAAAAGCCAATTAAATTGATGCTGTGAGAAAGGGAAACAGAAGAGGATGGGAGGAATGTTTGCAGCTGCTAAGCTAGCTGGGGAGCCAAGAAAAGGGTATGTCTGGACGACATGGTTGGGTTTTTAATGTGTAGGAGGAGGCTTTGATCCTTCCCTAGTAAAAGAAAAAATGGAGGTGAGAGCCCCATCTATGTGCATTTTTTTTTTTTTTGTAACCCACAAGAAATTTGCATCTCTAGAAAACAGGCTGAGTGATATTCTGAGAATAAAACCAATCAAATCAGGCTTTGAACTTGAACTTCTCAAACATCCAGGACTTTCATTTTTCCCCAGTCAGATCACCCAAGTAGGAGACTCAAATGGACACTGGCCAAAATACATTGTGTGTCTCAGTTTCCTCATTTGTAAAATGAAGGACTTTGTTGAAGTCATCTCTGAGTTCCATTTCTACTCTGCTGTGCATCTTCCGTGACTCTAGATGGGCAGTACACACCTGTTACTTGGGGGAATAAGTGTAAAAACACTGGGAACTCATCCTGACCTGATAAATGCAATGGGATCCTGGGCCAAATAGGATGTGAGCACAACTAATCAGAAACCACAATGAATAGATGACTGTGAGTAACTGAAGAAAATATCTCTTTTTTCTCAAAGCTCATGGAAAGGCTCTAAAATATGAGCCCCCGTTTTGTCCAAAGACTTCCCGTCCCACACAAATATTTTGTTCTGTATGCACTCTTCTAACTCTCTTTTTCTTCCATCTATTTTGGAAGCTCCAGGGCCCCTGACCCCCTTGTCTTTTGTCAGTGCCTGATGACACATGGTGTGCAAGCAATATAACATGATCTGTGGTATGATGGA